TCCATGCTTTCTTTGAGCTTTTGCTGGGGCGATAGTGTGTGCGTTGAAGGCTACCTCATCATCAAGCACATGAGTCCGGTGGGCGCAACTGTCATTGCAAACGCCAAGACGCCAGCCACAATCCTGATTTCAGTGCCGCTCCCTCCGAAGTAGTGCCAGTTTGCTGGGACTTTGGGGCTTGGGGTTTAAAGAGAGCCCAATACTCTGTACTTTGGGAATATACCTTAAACTCTGCAGGCATCCTTTTGATGACCTAAGTTTTACATCTTAGGGCTTAATTCCCCTGAACCTCTCAGTAGGAAAGGGACACATCTTTGCCTAAGTCATGACGTAGAGGGGAGTCCAGGGGTAGGGTTTTCTGATAGTAATTTGGGCCCAGAGGCTTTCTTGTCCCCCTGGTTGTTAGGTAGGGCCCTTTATATGCCTTAAAGGGATTATACAGGGTACCTCGGGAATCAGGGCCCTTTATATGCCTTTAAGGGATTATATAGGGTACCTCATTCCCTCATTCCCTACTGAGAACCCGCTGTTTCTGGGCCCAAGTCTCTGGGATCAGGTTCGAAAAGGCGGGTTGAAGCCTCTTGCAACTAAGTGTTTAGGGTTTAGGGGAGGCCTGGACGTAGACCCTAAACCCTAAACCCTAAACCCTAAACCCTAAACCCTAAACCCTAAACCCTAAACCCTAAACCCTAAACCCTAAACCCCAAACCCCAAACCCCAAACCCTAAACCCTAAACCCTAAACCCTAAACCCTAAACAGTTCAGGCTGATCTTTGGCAACTCTGTCGGGCTTATGCAGATCCTCGGCTTCGTAGCCACTTGCCTGACCTTGGCATCAACTAACTTGGGGTTCATTAGCTCACGTGGCCAATAGTCTGGGTTGGTTTTTGGGAAAATTTTCCTTATTTGGGTTTATAAGGGACCCTATATAAGTATTTTTCCAGAGGGTTTAAAGGCCAACCCAGCAGTTGAACTTTCACAACTTCTTAACATCAAAACAAAAGAGACCTTAAACTCTGCATCCAAAACAAACCGTGAAGTCTACAGTGTAGGCGTTGACTGAACCGTCTGGACCCGAGACTCAGACTGCTTTTGGAGAGAATGCCGAGTTTTGGCAGATTATGGTTCTAGAGACAGTTTTGGGATGGCACCCATATAGACCGCCCTAGGCTTGCAGGGACCCCAACCGAACACTTGATCCTGAACCCTACACCTACACCCATGAGCACTCAACCCTAAACTCCGCACTTTTCTCCCAGGACAATCCACCTTCCTTATTTCGTGGGAATATTTAAGATTCAACCTGTTTGCCCTTGGTTGGAGGAGGAGTAAGTTAGTGTTCAGGGCCTTTAGGGCTGCTGCTGGTCTTCAGTGGTTCAGAGTCACAGATTAGGGGCGGCAGGTGTTTCAGCAGCAAATGTGAGTTCAAGTTGCAAGTTCTTCTTGCTGGCCCAGTGGTGCCCCTTATCCCATGGCCTGTTTTCGTCCAAGGTTCCCTTAATTAAGGAATATTCCTTAAATCATATTAAGGATCCCTATATGGTTTAAGGAATATTGCTTAATTAAGGGGTTTTTGGGCTCTCTGGGGGGCTACCAAGTCTTGAGTCTTGAGTGAAAGTTGCAGCTTCGCGGTCAAGAAGGCTAGGACTGCTTGAGCACCCAGTCAAAGGCTTGCAACCGTTGCTGCCCAGGGGGTTTAGGGTTTAGGGTTTAGGGTTTAGGGTTTAGGGTTTAGGGTTTAGGGAGACTGCGAGAGAGCCTCTGCTTGTGCCCAGGTGACCTTCCTGGGCGTGTGGCTGCATAGCCAGAAAGGTCGCGCAGTGAAGGCATGAGGCGCGCCGCGGTTTTTTTTTTTTTTTTTTGGGGGGGGGTGGGGGGGGGGGGGCGGGGGGGCGGGGGGGGGGGTTGGGGTTTAGGGTTTGCGTTTAGGGTTTAGGGTTTTTGCGATGTCACGGGCTTTCGGCAGCATCGGAATGGTGCAATTGTAGATTATTTTATGTTGCGAGTGCTTGCTTCAAGAAGCCCCCCAAAAAAACAAAAACATCTCCCGACTTTACCAAGAATGTTATCATTTGTTTGGGGTGGTTTGTTAAGCACATAGTAGGTTATTGTATATTTCATTATTGGTATTGATATTGTGAGAAAACTATAACTATTATATCATTCTACAATGACGTTTGTACATAATTGCATCAGAGTCTTGTTATGTCATGTTTTTATTGTTTTTTTTTGGGGGGGTTTCTTAAGCAAATAGTAGGGTTTAGGGTTTAGGGCTTAACCCTAAACCCTAAACCCTATAACATGCGGCTGGGGACCCTGGCTTTGCATCCGTGCTCTCGCTCCTTGCAGGGCTCTAGCGGCCCGACTCTATCTCGCCAATTTCAATAGCTACGCCCAACCCATCTTACTTTGCAAGTTTAGGGTTTAGGGTTATAGGGTTTAGGGTTTAGGGTTTAGGGTTTGGGGTTTAGGGTTTAGGGTTTCTACTGACAGCCCCTATTAAGGATTATAATGCCAGGATGGGCTTTTGGGCCCTATAATCCCCATGATCAACCCTATGAAAGGGCCTTTTGAAGGGGGTATAGGGTATAATAGCCCGTCCTGGTAGGGGGTTACTATAATCCCTCTGAAGGACTGCTAGCAGAACGGGGGGAACATCCCAATCGAACATTGCAGGGAGCAATGTGAACCACTGCAGCATCTGCACGATGGACCAAGGTATACCCTAAACCCTATAAGCCTATAAGCCCTAAAACCTCAACCCTGAACCCTAAACCCTGGTCCCCAAAAACGCGGGCGAATCGCATTAGGACAGCCCTTGTGCAAGCCTCGCAGTAAACCCTAAACCCTAAACCCTAAACCCTAAACCCTAAACCCTAAACCCTAAACCCTAAAAAAAAAAAAAAACCCTAAACCCTAAACCCTAAACCCTAAACCCTAAACCCTAAACCGTACAGTTATAATTGGCTAACAAGTACCATGAACCTCCAAGCAGGCCGGTGACAAGTGGCGCGGAGTGATTCTCTTCTGAGTGGCAAAGCCATGTTTTGCAGCTGCACATTTTCGAGAGAGGTTTAGGGTCTAGGGGGGTTTAGGGTTTAGGGTTTAGGGTTTAGCCCTGCGAATCCGTCACAGAAGATGATTTAAATCCTCGGCAAGCATCCTTTTGAGGACAAGAATCTTGGCGGTGCAACATATACATATCCCAATATAGCACTGTTTAAAGAGGCGACCTCTCCAGACAGCAGCCAAGAGTTGTTCCCCCTTATACTAACAGTGTAGCACCCCCTGTCAAAATCCCTATTACGGACTGTTAGTATAAGGGGAATATCCCAAGAGTGAAACCCAGCAACATGAGAGCGGATTTGCCGGACGCATTCTCTGCCCCGCGGGGATGTGCAGAACTCAAGCAGTGGTCGCACGGCCTAGGGCTTAGAGTTTATGGTTTAGGGTTTAGGGTGTTGCTTCCCAAGTTTTAGTGGTATGTATACCCCTTGGGCTCCCGGGGTGAAGCTAGCACGAAGCTTCAGGTTCACGAGGTTTACCATCGAACGTCCAGGATGCTCAGTAGTAGCTGTGTCTTTTTAGGACTACGACCCCTTGTAACACCCTGATGCAATCCCTAACCTACGAAGGGCTTACCAAGCCCCGAAAAAACAATTAAAAACAATCATCCTTATATTGCCCTCAGAAGGAAGAAGATTTCATATCTATGTTTCGGGGAATTCTGACGCCATCAGTAGTAAGTCGCTCAATCATCAACACTTCTTCCTTCGGGGTACAGGGCGCACCTCCCTGGACCCCTTCGTCTTGACCAAGGTATATATGTGACAACCGCGAACCCCGAGCCTGCCGTATGATACCGCCATGTAATGTAAAATTTATTACAATATGTAATATACAGTTTGAAATTATATATTATATGCACACATACACATATGGCTTGCCTCAGAAGCTTAGCCTTCAAGCAAACCTTGTCGCAATGAAGTTCCTGGATGTTGGAGAAGCAACCATGCTTGAGATTGTAGGCTCAGGTTTCTTCCGCAGTTTCCGGCCATGCTTGTTGCCTCCACCTGCTTGCATGCACTTGGCCTGGTCTTGTCTGACAGCCGCGCTGTGCGCAGGTGCCACGTCTCACGTTTCATCCATTCTAGATCCTGGGCTTGAAAAGCATCATCCAATGCAGATGATCACAGACGCGCCCCCTCGCGTTCAAGCCTTCTGCATTGGCAGTCGGGCCCGAAGACTTACGATGACTGACAGTACGGGCTGCCTCCTGGCCATCCTAACTTGTTGGTTCAGAGACGGCAGTCTACCCACTTCTCCCTGATACTTGCTGATACTGCATACTTTGTGATGTTCCTCCTTATACTAATACCACACCACCGGTCAGGGCCGTTTTTGCACGCATGATGCACAGACACCGGGGTAACCAACAGTGGTTACTCCAGATTCCCTGCGGAAAAAGCATCGAAAAGCCTTAAACCCTGAACCCTAGACTCCAGACCTACTCCCTAAACTCCCACCCCCCCTTTTCCTATAATCCGTGGATCGGGATCAACGGGATTTAGGCCGAAATCCCCTTGCTTGGGTTGGAATCTCTCATTTTGTCTGTGGCCGACGAGCAGCATCAGCTAGGCGAGTGGCAAGCCACCTAGCCTACCAAACCCTAAACCCTAAACCCTAAACCCTTGAACAGAATCCGGCGTCCGAATCCCGAAGATGTATCTAGTCAGCTTTCATAAGCCGTTCAATCCAAAACCCAACGAAACTTCAAAAAATCGAGTCCCGGCTGTAACTTCTAGGGGTCCCAAGGCCTAAATCACTAAACCCTGCACCCTAAACCATACATGGGGGTTTACGAAAATGGAGGTACCCTTGTTGGGGTCCTTATTAAAGAGGAATCCTTCTATTTTGGGGTCTTGAGTAGGGTACACCTTTTTTCGTAAACTCCCATATCTCAACACCCTAAACTCGAAACTGTCGGCTTCCGGCGCAAGGAAACGGCTCCTGAGTGGCGAAACGGCCCTCTCACTTCTGGTGCCTGGGCTGTGTGGTTCTAGTCTTGGCATTCTTGGTATGAAGTGATGTTGTATGGTTCTTAAGGTGTCTGAGCCTTCTACGTTCACTGGGAAAGCCATATGTTAGTACTGTTTTGGGGCTTAGTTATTGCCCGGGGGGTTTGTCTGTATCCTAAACCCTAAATCCTAAATCCTAGTCCCTGTTATGAACCCTAAACCCTAAACCCTAAACCCTAAACCCTAAACCCTAAACCCTAAACCCTAAACCCTAAACCCTAAACCCTAAACCCTAAACCCTAAACCCTAAACCCAAACAGTAGTACATTGCGAGCTCTTTACATGTGTCCATTGGGTTTGCAGAGCCGAGCCGAAATTCTGGTCGTAGCCCGAAGCCCGAAACTCGAAGCTTTGTGTGTGTCTTTTTTTTTTTTTCTTGGGGGGGGGGGGGGTAGGGTTTAGGCTTTAGGCTTTAGGGTTTAGGGTTTAGGGTTTGGGGTTTAAATTTAGGGTTTAGGGTTTAGGGTTTAGGGCTTGCAAGGTTTAAGGTTTAGTGTTTCGAGGCTGGCTTTGCCGAGGCTCTTGAACTGTTGTGCGCGAGTCGTAGGTGCACGCGCATTCGCGCAGTGCAACATTTCCGAGCTTTTCCGCTTGCCCTGCCAATACCCGCGATCAAAAACTAAACCCTAAACCCTAAACCTAAACCTCAAAGACATTTTGCAGCAATGGCCTGGTCCACATACCACCAAGCTGAAGCCACGGAAGTCCACACAACCAAGACCAAAGCCTTGCCCAGAGAAGTCAACCACCCCCCAATAGAGGAGCGCATCTGCAATAAGGGTCCCTGCTTAGCCCTTAGTTAAGGAATATACTTCATGGTGGAATAAGGATCCCTATATAGTTAAGCATGGTGGTTTCCTGCAACGCAACCGTTGTTGATTACACATAAGTAAATACATATTTTTGTAGGGGGGGGGGGAGGGTTCGTATAACAATGGTTATGATATTTTGTTGGCATAGCAAGGTACCCCAATGCCCATGCAGCTTAACCCCATTCTGTTTAAGGTATATGCATTCTCGAATGAAGGGTTACTAGGCTTTGTGGGCAGGCGTCGAACCCTCAAATCCATCACCCAGAGAGCCTCTAAAGCCCCTTGCATTGTGGAAGATACCTTGCACTATCATAGGGATCCTCAGTATGATTCGAGGTAGATTCCTTGGGATGTCCCGTATGGGGATAGGGATGTTCCAACTTTTTGGAGTTTACGGTATACTAGCTAACAGTCCTTAATAGGGATTACCCCCCCCCCCCCTTTGTTATCCCTATTCAGAACTGTTAGTATAAGGGAGAATATCCCCAGGTAGATTCCTTCAAAAAGGGTGGCCCTAAACCCTGACCCTCAACCCTCAACCCTAAACCCGTTTCCTTAATTCAGGGGGGGTTTAGGGCCAGTTGGGTGCATCAGCCCAGGCCTCATTGAATCCGAAGCAGCCGCTCTTCTTGGAGGCAGCGGTCGGTGGTTTTGGCACAGACACCTCGCTGAGACAGCCCGTTTAGGGTTTAGGGTTTAGGGTATAGGTTGGGATGTTCCCCCTTATACTAAGACTTACTTCGCCTTTAGTTGAACTTTGAACTTTTTGGGTTTCCTTCTGTAGTAGGAATATTAAAGTTTAACCTTTTTTCCCCCTTGGTTATTGGAGAAGTAAGAAGAGTCCTTAATAGGGATTATAGGACCCCCGATTCTAATCCCTACTATGGACTGTTAGTATAAGGGGGAACATCCCATACCGGTTCCTTCTTGGAGTGCTTTTAGGGCTCAGGACTTGGGTTCAGGATGTAGGAACAAGTAAGTGCTTGACCTCAGAATCCGAGACTCCAACAAGTTTTGGCACAAGAAACGGTTTAGGGTTTAGGGTTTGGGGTTTCATAGCATCAAAACCCCCTGGCTAATTTTCGGTGGTTTGCATAGAACCCTACCCATACCTACCCAGGCTACCCATGACATGAGCCAAGTAAACCTTATGAACCCCGAAATGCTAGATCAGGGCTTCCCGGCTTTGGACAAGCAGGTCTACGAGCGTGATAGCCGAGGTGCCTTCCAAACCCTACTTAAGGTTTAGGGGTAGTATATACGTAGGGTTTAGGGTTCAGGCTTTAGGGTTTAGATGTAGGGATAGTAGGGTTTAGGGTTTAGGGACCTTATTAGGGACCTAGAGGATGATAAGTCTAGTTACCATGCTTGTAACCCTACTTAGAGCTGCCCATGAACCAAGTAGCCCGAAACCCTGAGACCCCCCTCCCGACTCTCCCATTCCCTCGCCAGGATCAGAGACACCTCGCCGAAGCCATTCTGCAGGAGGCCTGTGTCTTCTAGGAGCTTTGAGACTTAGGGTGAGGATGGGTTGAGGGTTTTAGGGTTTTTGCTCGAAAGGGTTTAGATGGGTTTAGGGTTTAGGGTTGGGGTTCTTGAGGTTTGCGCTTTGGGGTTTGGGGTTGCGGGGATTGGGGTATTGTGGGGTTTGGTGTTTTGGAGATCAGGTTTTGGTTCTTGGGGTTTGTTTTTTTGGCATTTGGGGTCAAAAGGGTTTAGGGGCTTACGCATGCAAAGGTGAGGACTTGGGTGGGTAGGAGCAACAGTTGGGCTTGTGGGTGTGGAGTGTCAGTTAAGTGAAGTCCCTTCCTATGGACCGAAGGCCCGTCCTGTTTACCGCCCTTGGATATCCTGCATATTCCGTGGAGAACTCCTCGGGTTTAGGGTCTATAGGATGCACGAAACCCTTCAGACAGCTTGCCCCGGGGGTCCCAAAAGTCCCAGGCATGTGTGAGCCATCATAGCAAGTTCCCTAAACTCCAAGATTTGCGCCCCTAAACCTAAGCCCTAAACCCTAAACAGATGTGTAAGAAAAGGTGGAAGCTGCAGAGGCGATCGACGTAGCTGCCTCAGCTTCGCCCTGTTATTCCCGGTTGTGGCCCGAGGGTGTCATCTTCCAACCCAACCCGTCTTGATTCTTGAGTATTCTTAGGGTTTAGGGTTTAGAGGCGCGGGTCCAGTAAACGGTTTCATGCCGCCCACATGCAGAGGACGGTAGTTGAGATTTGAGAACAGTTGTTGTCAATAGCGGAATATCTGTGGAGGCTTCTCTTTCCGAGCTGTTTCTCCTCCCTAAACCCTAAACCCTAAGCCCTTATATTGCCGAGGTGCACACGCATCTGTTCTCTGCCAGCGCGGGCCTGAGTTGCCCAGCCCAGCCTGAGCTTCGGCGTAATATAGGGGTCGGAATAATGGGTTTAGGGTTTAGGGTTTAGGGTGTTCCTTTGTAATTATACTCTACTAACCCCCCCCCCCCCCCCCCAAAACCCAAAAACCCTAATTATTCAGGCCCCTAGGGCGTTCTCAGCCCAAAGCGCTGGACCCAGAGTTCGGTCTAGACCAGGAGCTTCATGACCAAGATCGTGCCCGGCATAATCCTTGTGTAGGGTTTAATTAGGGTTTAGGGTTTTGGGTTTAGGAATACTGTAGATGATAAGCCTACCCACACATTGTGTCCGTTCTCACGAAGTACGCTCGTATAGTTCATTTGTTAGTTGCGTGCCCTATGGGCCTTGGGATTTTCCCCCTGAGACGAACAGGCCTTACTAGGGGTTCTAAGAGGGGTAGATCCCGATCATGGACTGTTAGTATAAGGGGGGACATCCCGAAATGTGCTGTGCGAGCCTCGACTGTTTAGGGTTTAGGGTTTAGGGTTTAGGGTTTAGGGTTTGTGGTTTTAGGTTTTAGGGTTTAGGGTTTAGGGTCGATGAGAGGCCATGGGGAGACGCTCATGGAGTATGGCATTGACGCGATGCTGTCCTGCTCTCAGGGCTTCTGCTTCCCCACAGGTGATTTGCTTACTCGAGACAGACCCCAGACCTCCCAGAGATGCTCCAAGCTTGTAGGCTCAACGAGAGAAGACGTCAGCTCACAAGAACCCCCCCCCCCCCCCACCCAAGAATCCTAAACCCTAAACCCCTATCTGTTGTCGGAAGGCGAATTCCTTCAGGGGGATTTGCAATGGGTCTCAAGGGTTTGTAGTGTTCAGAGGGTTTAAGGTTTAATGGGTTTATGGGGTTTTCAGGGTACAGGGTTTATAGGGGTTTTGGGGTAATTTTTAGGGCTTCCGAATCTTCGCTCCCTCAAACCCTAAACCCTAAACCTCCCCTGCGCCCCATTTGAGGACGTACCATTACCTCGTGTCTGAGTATCTCGCCTCCAGCAGTCGGTTGCCCAGTTCTTCCTGGCCTTTCCCAGATACCCATCAAGGTAGGTTATATATGGCTTATTATCTCTCTATATATATATATATGACCATAAAAAAAAATATATATATATATATGTACGTGTATATATAATATAAGCAATATATTCCCAGTAATGCAGGGAATATAACTTATTAACTACACAGGTGTCCTCAGAGTGAATTATATCACAAGGAGGTTTCAATATTACATCCGGAACACACCCTGTTTAAGTTATATAAGCTATCTAAGTTACACACAAAGGCTCCCTACCTTCCCTAAGGTTCACTAGCCTAGGTACCTACCCCCCCCCCCCCCCCCTCCCTGAAGCACCCTTGAGTCATGCCTCACTTGTAAGCCATATTTGTCTGGCAGGCGTGGCCGCATCGAACCTTACTCCCTTAAACAGCCTTCAATAATCTAAGAATATATCCAACGCACCCCCTGGGGCATGCCCCTTACGGGTTATGGGCACCTCCTTCCTTATCTTCTCCTTTTTTGCGTTAAAGCGTTTCGGTTTGAGCATTTCTTAGAAATTGACCCGAGACTCCAAAGACACTCCCAGGCGAGTCGCCGAAGGAGTTTTACGCCCTGCGCCGCGCTCAGGTCGGCTCCAGAATTCTGTGGAACCCCCTGAAGTATCCAGTACAAAGGCTTTAGGGTAAGCCCTAAACCCTAAACCCTAAACCTTAAACCCTAAACCCTAAACCCTAAAGCCTAAACCCTAAACCCTAAACCCTAAACCCTAAATCCTAAACCCTGCCCAGTATACTGGCCTACAGTCCCCCCAAAAACACAAAGGGTGCATCGGCCACCATGTGCCCTGTGCCCTGCGCAAGGATGAGACACACACACACACATCTCCCAGAGTAGGCCCCTATTCCCTTTTTTAAAAAAGCGTAGGTGTCCTTCAAGCCCCTTGGACCCCAAAAGAAGGGTGCCCTGTCTATTACTTGGTTACTCTCAGGGTCTAACACACAAAAGTCGAGAAGTGCGCGTTTGGGCTTCGGAGGGCTCGATGCATGGACTTGAGTTTTTGGCCCTTTCGAGAATGAAATGCACGCTCAGTTGGGGGAAGCCTTACCTTGTAAAGGTACGTTCGACCTTTGGGATGTTCCCCCGTATACGAACCGTCCTTAGCAGGGATTATGGTACCCCTTGCTCTAATTCCCCAGTAAGGGCTATAAGGGGAGCATCCCAAGTTAAAGCCTCGAAGGCCATGGTATAGGCGTCCTCATCATGAAGTCGATGCTTGGAGGTTCATGGGTACTTGTAACCGACGTTATAAGTCTACTTATAACCTACTTAGGGGACTTAGGGGGCTTATAAGTGCAGTAGTGATTAGGGTTATAGGTTCCCTGAACCTCCAAGTAGAGCCTTCGTGAAGGGGTATTGGCGTCTTTCCAAGGAGCCGGACCGAGCAGGCAGGCCGCGTGTGGGAGGGGCTTTTCGCCGGCGGCCCAGAAGGAATGCAGCAACCCCTAAACTAGATCAGTGTTCGGGATCCTTTTTACTTTTTGGGTTATGGCCTTTCTTATATATGAACAAAAAGGATCCTTTTTTCTTCCTAGGGGAACAGGGATTAAGTAAACCCTAAACCCCTGGAATATGCATCTAGCCATCGCCCCCAAAGCAGCAAAGAAAGATGATAAACAATGACAATAACATATAATCTCACGGCATGACCTACACCGAAAGTCTATGCTATGCTTCTCCCCCGGCTGGCAGAAAACCCCTAATCTACCGAGTAGCCTGTTCCGCTAGATACCCGTACTCGACCACATAGAGTTTGAAGGATATGTGTCGAAGTTCCTCCCGTGACGTCCTTGCATCTCGCCCGCCCAAGTGTGAGTTGGCCTGCTGGCTCTATAACCCTAAACCCTAAACCCTAAACCCTAAACCCTAAACCCTAAACCCTAAACCCTAAAGATCCTCAGCTCTCCTGAGGGTTGCTTGGAGGTTCATGGGACTTACGAACCACTTATAGCTGGGCTTATAACCCTACTTATAGTTGGGATAACCCCTATAAGGCCCTTTAGGGGTATTATAAGTGGGGTTATAAGTACAGTTATAATTGCTTAGTAAGTACCATGAACCTCCAAGTAGGGTGTCAGATTTAAGGAAACCCAACTTTCAGAGAGCGCTCGAGGTGAACTCGACCCCCTTGTCCGAGCCCTGTTGGGTGGCCCAGACGCCGACAGTGCTGTTAGGGTTTAGGGTTTCGGGTTTGGGTTTAGTGTTTAGGGTTTAGGGTTTAGGGTTTGTTCAGATGCAGCAGTCCTAGCCGTAAAAAGGGTTTGTTCAGAAACCATTAGGGTGTCAGACTTGGAATTTAGATTCCATGGTTTGCAGCATGAGGACGGCCATCTGACAGAGTGTGACGAAGGGTCCTTACTCTCCTCCTGGAGGTTCACGCGTAGTCAGAAGTAGGGTTAGTTATAAGTACCCTAAATAGAGTCACAAACAAAGTCACCATACTGTGAACCCTCTTAAACCCTAAACCCTAAACCCCAAACCCTCCTTCTGAGTACCCAAATGAAGCTCCAAGCTCCACCCCAACCTTCAGGTCGTGGCGTGCTTACCACGTCAAGGGCCCAGCCCTGCTCAGACTGCAGGGTTTAGGGTTTAGGGTTTACGGTTTAGGGTTTAGGGCTACTACTTGAAGGCTCATGGATAGTTCTAAGTAGGGTTATACTTACGGTGACTATACTTTAACTTCATTGAGGGTAATTACTCATAACCCCCTAGAGATCCTACCCATGAAGCTCCACCTGGTGGATTTATGTGGACCCCCTTCTTTTGAAGTGCAATACCAGCATCGGCATGACCCTAAAGCCCTAAAGCCCTAAAGAACCCAAGAATCTCAAAACCCCCAAACCCAAGATCACTGGAGCCCTAAACGCCCCAAAAGCCCTAAAAGCCCTGAAAGCCCTAAAAAGGCCTGAAAGCCCGGAAATCCCTGAAGCCCGGGCAGCTCGTGTCTCTGGCCCCTAAGCCCTAAACCCTAAACCCTAAACCCTAAACCCTGAACCCTGAACCCTAAACCCTAAACCCTAAACCCTAACCCTAAACCCTAAACCGCTTAAGGTTGTCAGCGCTGGGTCTCAAGGAGGAAGTCGCCGGCCGCGACCTGGCGGCCATCCGACGATGGCCCCGCGGCAGTAGGTTTAGGGTTTAGGGTTTAGGGTTTAGGGTTTAGAGTTTAGGGTTTAGGGTTTAGGGTTTAGGGTTTAGGGTTCCGCGGCATCAGGGGCCTTAGGGTGGGTTTCGGGTTGTGGGGGTTCAGGGTTTTAGTTTGGAGTTTTGATGAGGTTTTCGGGTTTAGGGCGAAAGGGGTGAGAGAGGGCGAAAGGGGTTTAGGGTTTAGGGTTCAGGGTTTCGGGTTTGGGGCGAAAGGGAGGGTATTTGGTGGAGGCAGAAGGCGGTTTCAGGGCTTAAGGGCTTGGGGGATTTTCGGGTGGTTTTGAGTTTAGGGCATAAACCCTAAACCCGTAATGTTTGGGTTCCGGGGTTTAGGATGCCTGGCAGTGCCTTGTTGTGTTCAGGGTTAGACATGTTCAGGGTTTAGGGTTCAGGGTTCAGGCTGTAGGGTCGGCAGTGTTCAGCAGCCATTCCCACAGGTCAGGCTCAGCTCTTCCAGGATGCTGTTGCTTCTCGCTAGTCCATGGGAACACATGGGCCCTATTGTAACCATCGACCCCCCAAAGCCCCCAAGCCATAAGCCCGAGGCATGTTCTGCGCTTAGTTAAGCGCGGAGTGTCCCTCAAGCCACTTGAAGATCCGGATCTAAGGCAGCATCCTAAGATGTTCTTGGGGCCCTTCGGGTAAACCCTGCCCCGAATGGCAGAAGCCCTGCTCCTTCCCCGGATATCCCTTAAAACCCCTGAATTAAGGAATATACCTTAACTGTTAGTATTATAACCCTTTATTAATGGGCATAAGGGCTCTTTGATAAACCCCATTAACCTCAAAACAAAACCTCAAAACGCCAGAACCCCCCCCCCCCAAAAAAAAAAAAAAAAAGAAGAAGAAAACTATG